GGAGAGGAGAGGAGAGGAGAGGAGAGGAGAGGAGAGGAGAGGAGAGGAGAAGAAAGTCAGAGCTAGAGCTAGAGAGGGAGAGATCTTCCATCTGCTGGTTCACTCTCGAGATCATCACAATGTCCAGGGCTGGGCCAAATGGAAGCCAGGAGCTTCTTCCAGGTCTCCCTCGTGGGTAAGGGGGCCCAATCACTTGGGCCATCTTCCATTGCTTTCCCAAGGCCATTAGCAGGTAGCTGGCTTGGAAGGCAGCCATATATGAATCAGTGCCCACATAGGATGCCAGTGTCACAGGTGGTAGCTTTACCACTGAACCACAATGCCATCCCCTGTAATTGTCAACAATTAACTGATAAATCTCTCTTGAGTAGGTCCACATCTTTCCACCTCCACTGTCACGTCCACAGTATGAGGCCCTCACAGCTCCTGACTGAACTGCTACCTTAACTTTGTCTTCTACTTTGCATCCTTGCCCTGGAAAACTGTTCTCTATATGGCAACAAGCATGATCACTTGAAATAAAAAATTTGATCCTATCATTCCTGGCCTAAAATAAGTCAATGTTATTACCCACAACTTGTTCCCCCAACTTCCTCTTCTAACTCATTGCAGTCTTTCTATCCCTGTGTCTTGAAATTTCCATTCCTTTCATGTTCCAAACTCCTTCTCAGTGCCTGTGCAGCATTTCTGATGTGCCCTTTATAAGAATTCCCCTTCCCAGAACCTCTTTTTCACCTACACAGCCCTAAGTTCATCCTTCACATCTCAGCTCAAACATTTAAGGAAATCATTCCTAAGGTCATGCATCCTCTTGCTGTACATGTACTTCCCCTTCACAGCACTTATCACTGGCTCCAATGGCACATTTGTGAGATGTATTTCACAGCTGGCCTCTAGCTGACCACAAGTTTAAAGTTTAAGGAGGGTAGGAACTCTGTTTCATATAATATTCTGGCCACAGAAATCACATGGTACCTCTCCCATAGTAAGTACTCAAGAAACATTTTTAACAAACTATATGGCAAAAATTTTCTATTAGAATCTACTCAGTTACCTGGACATGAAAACAACAAGACTCATTCATAGGTAAAGCCACTAAATAATCTAACTTACCCTTCCCACTCTGACCATTAATTCTTACTGTTAGGGAAAGGCGTTGTATCTGTAATTAAAATGGCATCAGATACAATTCTTGTTTCCTTACTTCATTGAAAATAAGCCTGACTAGTTTTGAATGCATGATAGGACCAACCAAATCTATGCTCTTCACCAACCTTATTGAAAAAAAATAAATTTTAAAAAATAAAAAAGGTGAATGGGATACCATAAAATTGAAACAAAAAAAAAATAAAAAATAAAAAGGACTACTCATATTTTGCAAAGAGAAGACCCAGATGGCTCTGGCCATTTGCTTGAGCTTCATACAGGGATAAACATGGGCAACAAAACATTTAAAAATTAACTTCTAAACCCTCAACATTTGCCTAAAATACACTGGCACTGAGACTGATGGGATTTTATGAGGTTTCTCATGTTTTCGTTTAGAACTATATAATCCTGGCCGGGCGCGGTGGCACGCACCTGTAGTCCCAGCTACTCGGGAGGCTGAGGCTGGAGGATCGCTTGAGTCCAGGAGTTCTGGGCTGTTGTACGCTATGCCGATTGGGTGTCTGCACTAAGTTCGGCATCAATATGGTGACCTCCCGGGAGCGGGGGACCACCAGGTTGCCTAAGGAGGGGTGAACCGGTCCAGGTCGGAAACGGAGCAGGTCAAAACTCCCGTGCTGATCAGAACTATATAATCCTGGATTAATCTCACAATCTTGGAAAATGATTGCAATTTTTTAATTTATATAAATGGAACAAATTTCACATATTTCATATATACAGTTTTAACAACACAATGATACTTTACACCCTATCCTCCCTCCCTCCTTCTTCCTTTCTTATTTTTCTTTTAATTTTTGCAATGACATACTTTCAATTTATTTTATAATCACAAGCTTAGCCTTGAAAGATATGTGATGGACTATTGTTTCCACCTAAATATATGTTGCCAGCCTCCATAAAAGACCAGAAAGAAACAAGGGGCTTCATTCCAAGTGAAAGAGATGCCTCTTGATTGGCACTATTTTTTTTTGACAGGCAGAGTTAGTGAGAGAGAGAGAGAGAGAGACAGAGAGAAAGGTCTTCCTTTTTCTGTTGGTTCATCTCCCCAAGTGGCCGCTAAGGCTGACGCATTGCGCTGCACCGATCCGAAGCCAGGAGCCAGGTGCTTCCTCCTGGTCTCCCATGCGGGTGCAGGACCCAAGGATTTGGGTCATCCTCCACTGCACTCCTGGGCCACAGCAGAAAGCTGGACTGGAAGAGGAGCAACCGGGACAGAATCCAGCGTCCCGACCGGGACTAGAACCCGGTGTGCCGGCGCCGCAGGCGGAGGATAGCCTAGTGAGCCGCAGCGCCGGGATTGGCACTATTTTTTAATAGCCTCCCCTCTACTGAATAAGAAAGTCAAAATAAGCCATCTGCAATAGTTAAGAAATTAAGAGGTGATTTCTGTTAACATACTTTTATCTCATGGCTTTCAGATTTCTAAAAATGTTATCAGTGATTTTTTTTAAACAGTCCATGAAACATCTGAATATTTACAAAGCGACTTGTATAGGGAATCATGACACATGGCATGGATCCCAAGGCCATATGGCATCAGAACAAGAACTCAGCATTAATCCTGATCCCAAAACTGTGTGTATGGGAGATAAAATTACTTAGGACTCCTCCCAAGACTTGCAAGAACAAACATTGAAGCTGTTAGATAAAACTAAATAATGCTAGAGCAGACCATAGCCCTCAGGCGAGCTGTTAATCCCTTGTAGAGAAAAGCCCATATGGTCCCATTCCCAAAAGAGGGTGTTACTGTATGTTCTTGCGCTGCCAAGGTAGCCCCAGGAAAGAAAGTCATCACCTCTTTGTAGCAATCCAGGAAAACAAAAAGAATGGGTTGGGGGGTAAAGGGAGAAACCAAAGAAGAAAGAGCAGTTTACCATCCAAAAGCTGCCCAATTGCAAGCTAATTCCTAGAAGACTGAGGTTCTTCCCCAGTCTCTAAGGAAGGCTCAAGTTACAACCAACCAGTTGTAGGCACTGTGGCGCAGTGGGTTAACACCCTGGCCTGAAGCGCCAGCATCCCATATGGGCATCAGTTTGAGACCCGGCTGCTCCACTACTAATCCAGCTCTCTGCTATGGCCTGGGAAAGCAGTGGAAGATGGCCCAAGTCCTTGGGGCCCTGCATCCACGTGGGAGACCTGGAAGAAGCTCCTGGCTCCTGGCTTCAGATCAGCGCAGCTCCGGCTGTTGCGGCCATCTAGGGAGTGAACCATGGATGGAAGACTTCTCCCTCCCTCCCTCTCTTTCTCTCTGCCTCTCCTCTCTCTGTGTAACTCTTTCAAATAAATAAATCTTTAAAAAAACAGTTTTAGGCAGAAAGCAGCTGTTACTAGTAAAGTCAAAGTCCTAAAATTAGTAGTAGCTTTTGCTCTGACCTCTCCTCTCCAATATAATTTATGGGGGTATTTGAGGAAGACTCCAAAATGAGTCACTCTTCCTCCAACAGATTCACCTGTGACTGGCACCCACCCTATACATAGTCTCTTTGCTTTGGTTGAATCTCTACCTCCACCCTACCTAACACATAAAATGAGTCTTTTTATTTAACAGAGTCAGATACCCCAAGACTGACTTAGATATCACTTTGAATCTGGTGTCATCATCATAAGGAGGACACTGCACAAGACAATCTAAGGCCTTTTTCAGATTTAGTCACAAAAAGTATACTCTAGTAATGGTTACAATTTCTTTAAAGAGATTGACCCTCTTGCCAATAATCACCCAAGGCTAAGTTCTCCTTTACTTAAGAGTGGCTTCCTTAAAAGTAAGAAATATTGTTGAAAGCACCAGCTGTTACTGGGCCCTTTCACTGAAAATTATGCTTCTCTGAACAATGGAAAACAAGCCAGCACTCACTGCCTTTGAAAACGTCACAACTACTTGTTCTAGCCTTCCAAAGGAAATGATACATATGTTGAATTCACCATGATTCTATGTAAAGGGCTCAAATCCATAGTCAGGGGATGACAATTTTTATTAAGGAGTCAGAGTTCTATTACCAGCTTCTGGTTGCTGGAATACTGTATATCTTTATCTGATGGTGGGTATATGGTATATCCAATATATAAAAATTCATCAACTGTACATTTAAGATGATAGTACTTTGCACATTTTACTGCATGGAATCTTTTCACTTATTAATTAGGTATATGAGTTCTATTCTATTCCACAGCCCAAGGTCATTTGGGCACACTGGGAGGTATCTTGAGATGCAAAGTCAGCACTTGGCTCTATGAGATCTTCTTTGATATCAGCTGGGAAATTCAATACTTGCCTATTCCACAACTGTCATAAAAGGGTAACTTTGGTTCTAACGCATCCAGAGGGCACTTAAAAGGGAATAACAGATGAATCACCCTTACCTGTAACAGTTCTATTTCTCATAAGATGTCAAAGTATAATACCAGTTAAAGAAAAATAACTATAGATACTAAGGACTCTCCAAGTATCTGGACACCATTTTAAGAAACAAAAGTTTCAGCAGAACAGGGATGGCGGAGGTGGGGGGGGGACATTTGGCATACTAGTCAAGATGCTGCTTAAGTTGCATCCCATATTGGAGTGCCTGTGTTCAAGTCCTGGCTCCACTCTCAATTCTAGTTTCTTGCTAATGTGTACTCTGGGAGGCAGTACAAGATGGCTAAAATACTTGGGTCTTTGCCATCTACCTGAGAGATTCATGTTGAGTTTCAGGCTCCTGGCTCCAGCCTGGCTCAGCTCTTCATTTCAAATAAATAGCACTTACAAAAAGAAATAAAGGTTTCTTGGAAGGTGCCTAAGGTTTGTGATTTGTGACACAGCCTTACCTGCTTGCAGGTACTCTGGCTGCAGAGTCGGAGGCAGCCCTTCGGGCAGTGGGTAGCCATTCTTCCGGGCCACAATGAGATGAAATGCAGCACAGAACTCAGGCAGGGTCAGGGCGCCATCACAGTCAGCATCACTCAGCTCCCTAAATGTAACAGAAATCATGAGTACCTACCACAGGGCAGAGAGGAAAAATTATTGGGCTTCAAGCATTCAAACACAGCTCCCAGGCTCTCTGGCGGTGATTCCATAGGATCTCCAAACCCTCCCAGCCACACCCATTTGAAATTAAAGGGGGCCACTGGAAGGAAGAAAATGCTGACTGATAGCATTGGCATCAGTAGCATTTTATAAATCAAAATTTATATTCTTCAACTTCTCCAGAAGGTATGTTTTTGCAACAATGAGGACCTGCACAGAAAGAAAAGGATGCCTGGAACTCCACACTTAGCAGACCATCATTCAGTAAATGTTGGCTGCATATGTTAAGTACCCTAGATCTGGTGTTCAAACCAGCAGAGGAACTCGGCCCTAGCCATTTCACAGTGGTCCCAACCACTATGTAGTTTGCCCAGAGCATAAAAATAGGTGCTTCATTTTCCAGCATTAAGGAAAAACACTGAACTTTTTGAGGCAGATAATTTTTTTTATCAAAACATTCTCTGCTTGAGGATTTGCTCCTGTGAAAATACAAATAAATTCACTAAGTATTGATTGAATTATGTTTTAGGATAAAGCCAGCACCTAGAGAAGGCTGTAACCAGGTAAGACAAAAAGGGAGAAGCAGCTTATGTATGCTTCACTCACTGCCTCCCTCTGAAAGGCGCAGACCTATTTACTCAGCACAAAAGAATCTATTTGCTAAAGTAACTAAGATCCCATAAGCTCAACCAGCTCTTCAGTGCATGGAAGAGACATGTACACTTGTGTTAGGACAAGCACACAGATAGGACTTATATGAAATTGTACTATTATTAGAGAGAAAAATATCTCTAAGGTAAGTTACATAACTTTGCTTTGGATCATTCACATCCCTCCTGCCCTTACAGCTCCTCCTCCTCCAATGTAGAATACACCAGCCATGAAATAGTGGTTCCCCAGGGTAAGGAGTTAGAGAATGACTCCAAAAGCTGGACTGGGGAGAACAGCATTTGGCTTTCATGGACGTGTCTCAACCAAAAGAGAGACAGCCTCATGCTGATAACATTAAGGCTGGGCATTCTGCCAAAACAGATTGCATTGTTTTCAAAATCAAAGTTTCATTTTTTTCTAGCTTTAAAATCTAATATAAGGCTAGTCGGAAAAAAAATTATACCAGAGTACATGGTTGAAGAATGTAAATCCAGTACAGAATACCAGACACATTGGCATGCACAAGTAGTACTGGAATACTTTTCCAATAATAGCACAACACATGACAGGCAATTTTAAATCCTGTTATAATCTGCATAAAAATTGCAATGTTTTAATTATATATTTATAGCAGCATGATCTCATGCCCAATCTTTGGGAAGAACTAGCCCACACACAGCCAAGAGTTACAGCATCATTAAACATTTTCATAAATGCAAATAGAACCATCAGGACCAGCCCAGCATAGCACTTTTGGAGCCAGAGCTGCAAGAGGTCAGCAGCAAGGTGCAGTAAATGCTGCAACTGCAAGTCTGAATCAGAGCCCACTTGATAAACAGCAGCCAAATTTACAAATTTACAAAAAGCCAAATTTATAAAACTCATAGGCAGCTACAGTTGTTTAATTTAACTTAATTCCAAAATATTCCTGGAACTTCTGTCTACCTGGTCTTATAAAATAATACAAAGACTAGCTTTTCAAGCTCCTCTGAATGCTTGCATTACACGGAATAGGAAAATCCAAAAGCAAAACATCCAAGATAGAAGGTATCACGTGCTCAAGATTGCCTATATACAAAAGGGATCAATATGAGGAAGAAAGGTTGGAGCACGGCAGGAGGAAGGGTAGGGTGGGAAGTATCATTATATTCCTAAATCTGTACATATGAAATACATGAAACTTGTATAACTTTACAAAAATGAAAGAAAAATGGACACAACCAAAAAATACAGGGATAATTAGAAAATTACATTAAAAACAATAGTTAACACTTGTAGAGCTTAGCATATACCAGGCAACGTTTATTGTGCTTTCATATGAGTACTTATTTAATTTCTACAGCAATAAATTTAGGTTCTATTTGTTTTCTAGTAAGTTTTAAAACATCATTCAGGACATAAGACGTTTAAAATGCTGAAGGATGGGTATGCATGCTAGCATGATACTATTCGGTGTTAATTGTACTCACCATATATAGGAGAGTTCTGGAATGGAAAGCTTTGATTTGGTGAAGAAGTTCTTGGCCACAGAACCTGCCAAGAGCCATTGTTTAAACAAATCATTAATTAGTTACCCAGGGAAGCTTTTATATTCATATACAAACTAGTCAACGTTTTTTTCATTTAGCAGTCTCTACCTTATAACCACAAACAAAAAATTTATTCCTCAAAGCAACTATGAATCATGGGACTAAAAGTAACATATGAACAGTTTTTAAAATAATTTGTAAATTAGGGCCGGCGCCGCGGCTCACTAGGCTAATCCTCTGCCTTGTGGCGCCGGCACACCGGGTTCTAGTCCCGGTCGGGGCACCGGATTCTGTCCCGGTTGCCCCTCTTCCAGGCCAGCTCTCTGCTGTGGCCAGGGAGTGCAGTGGAGGATGGCCCAGGTGCTTGGGCCCTGCACCCCATGGGAGACCAGGAAAAGCACCTGGCTCCTGGCTCCTGCCATCGGATCAGCGCGGTGCGCCGGCCGCAGCGCGCCAGCCACGGCGGCCATTGGAGGGTGAACCAACGGCAAAGGAAGACATTTCTCTCTGTCTCTCTCTCTCACTGTCCACTCTGCCTGTCAAAAAAAAAATAATTTGTAAATTAGAATAGAAGAAAAGAAGCAATAACATAAACTCACAACAAATGCAAATCACGGAAATCAATTCCTGCTATGTTTCTATCAAAACTGCAAAATTTTACTACATTCAAGACAAATTGCAAAATTTTTAAATAAAAATCTGTCTAGCACTCATAATGAAACAGTGGAAAAGTAAGACATAACCATGGTAGAAAAACAAACAGAAAGAAAATTAACATCACTAATCCCACCAAAGAAAAGACAGATATCTTGGAAAAGATTTTTGGTGAGATTTAAGATCTCTTGGTGGCTGTTTGAGAAATGTATTCAGGAGTCCTTCTCTATGCAAAGGAAATTTACCTACATCCAATGAAATCAGGCAATCATTACATTTTG